TGATTTTTATCGTTATTAAATATTGAGTATTTAATATTTACACAATAATCTATAAGAACGGTAATATTGTTGGTAACAATGCCACAATGGCAAAGGCTGATGCGACGACGACGACGGCGGCTACCGTGTTTCTGAATTTAACATAAATTTCCATTAAAAAGTTCGCACTTTTTCATTTATAACTTAATTTCTAAAAGTACGATTTTGATGATTTTTACAAAAGCAAGTTCTACGCAATATTTCTGATGTTTTGGAGTTTACTTGGGGCTAATTTATGAAATAGAAAGTTAGTTATGTCTATGTGTATGTCTTATAACAAATTTACCTGTATTTTACACAGCTTAAATAGGCAACTCCTGCTTCTATATACTATACATCACAGACCGTCGTACAGTTATTATTTTTTTTTTTAATTACGACCGTGTGGCTGAATATCATTTATAACCTCCATAGAAAACAATATTTATTGATGACATAATGGTGTCATAGTACATGTTATGGAGGTAAATACAAATTATTATATTTTTGTATTTTTAAATTTCCAAAACTACATTAATTACTGTATACGAACAACAAATAGAAATATTTGATTGTGGTTTTCGGTAACCTATACTCGTTAACTTGTCTGTGTTGATTGGTATATGTGCAAATTGTTAAGTTACTTGATCTCACACTGTAGTGTTAAATCGTCTTAATTATTAAAAAACGTGGGGTGACTTCGGACAATACCTACATTACTATGTCCAGACTCCAGATTATATGTCAACAATGCAGGAAGTCGTCCGTATATAAGAATTATAATCCTAATGATATTTAAAATGTCGTTGATTTTATTTCAATTTATTACATTTTTTTTTAAAAAATTTCTATATTGTCCGAAGTCAACCATTGTAATATTATAATATCGGTTTTTAATGAAATCTAATAGGTCAGTAAGAGTCCATTTTACTGGGTCATTCTGGACAATATTCAACTCTTAAAAAAAGTGTGAACTTTAATGACCTTAATGATTATTCTTCTGCTATATGATCTTCTTTTCACTCATTATAAAAGTATTTTATTTACTAGTTAGGTATAATATATAAAAGTTTAAATGTATAATGTAGGTACTAGCCACTAAGTAAAAGAATATTCTGTTTTTTTTAGGTCTAAAATATTCGTCATTTGTAATTACTATTTTTACTAACCTATGTGGTTTATAATGTTATCTACAAGTCACAACAGTGAAATAACGTAAATATATAAATGAAGTACCTAGTTGATAGATACACTGTGATAAAAAAAAAAAAAATAGTCCATTAGCTAATATAGTGGATACTGGATAGTAGGGTATTCTGTGATAGTAATAAATCATTTGGTCAATGATGACTGATCATTTGTAACTTTTATTACATTTATTCACAGATGTCTATACTAAGAGCTTAAAACTGCCTTCACTTTTTTCATGTAAAATGTAAAAATGTTCTCTATCCAGTATAGCATAGATATCTATGTATTTATTAGAGGAAAATACAGGGGCCGCAGATGGGGGGGGGCGCCCCTATCCGGCCCCTCGTGCGCACGCCCATGGGTACAGGCTAACTTAAAAACGTTCCCCTGAACAATCACAAAAATTACGTTTGAACTTTTTCATTCTGAGACGACGAAATATACATAAATTCACAATATACACGGATTGCAACTTTTCTTAATGCATTATAGTACCTAAGTAAGTTATTTTGTGGTAATCCAATAAATATGATTCGTAGATAGACACATAATATTTAATACTGTAGTCTGCAATTCTGTCTTTATATATTATTGACACGAATCTATAATCACACCTACTGGCTACTACTTATATACAGAGTGATTAGACAAGCATGCTCACCCCCCCCCCTTTCCTGTAATTATTGTAGTAATTAATTATTTATTCGCAGTTATTTTTTCTAAAAATGATTACGAAGCTAATTCAAAATTTGAAGTATTCGAGTTATTCCACGTTGTGTATAATTAAGGATAATAAGTCCAAGATTAAAAAAGAATGTGGGGACTATCGAAATTTGAACCTTTTAGTGATTAATATTAATCTATAAACATTAATAATTTGTAAAAATGGTTCACATACTATAGATTCAATATTACATCTATTTTATATTTCTGTATAACCATTTTTAAGGACTATTATCATTATAGTATCAACGTATTAATAACTATATGAAACTAAATCGTTCAAATTTTGAATTAGACACTTCCAAATTTTCTTAAGACCAATTTTTGACAAAATCAATTTCGTTCTATTGGCTTAATGTTGCAGAAACTTTAAAATATTTTGAATTTTTTTGTACTATTTATAGGCATAAGAAAATTTAGATTTTTATTAGTATTTTTTATAACTATTGTAGATAAATAATTTTTTGCTTTTTCAAAAAACTTGAAAATGTAATACAAGGTTTCTCATAAGTTTCACTAACCTAACTTTAAAAAAAATTGATCAATCCACAGGAATTTGTATAGGTAAGCATTTGAATTTAAAATTGTATACAATTCAACAAATTTGCAAAATTTTTCAATTTATTTTGTAATTATTAGAAATTCCAAAAAAAAAATTATATCTAAGATTTAAAAATTGTATACAAGATTTTTAAAATTTTTCTACCTACAACAAAAAAAATGTGTGATGAAAAGTCAAATTAATTTTCTATGAGCGTTTGAAATTGAAATTTTAAATATTTTAAATGTTCCTCAAATTTTTTCATTTTTATTTTTTTATACATGATACAACTTTGACTCTTTTTGAGTTGTGTATAGATTGGACATTTAAAACGAGAAATCTTATAGCTTAGGCTGTAAAAAAAAATTATAAAAATCTATTATAAGCACAATTATTTTTTACATAATATATATATAAGTTTTACAGATATAAAATATTTTAACAAAGAATAACGACTAAAGTCATTTGCTGTACTTACCTCATTTAAAAATACTATTCGCTGGTATTGTATACAATGATATTTTCAAATGTAATGTTTTTGGCAAAAATTAATTCAACCTGATGTATTACTAGTAGTAGGTACAATTAATTATTTTAATAGCAATAATATCATAAAATCGGTGGTATAATTAATTGGAGGTAACCTCCTAATATATAAATATATGCGTGTACCCTTAACGAAAGTCGTGGAACGCAGGTTAGGCGTAGTCCTCCACATTATTTTTTACAATGATTAAGGCGTGTACCTACCCATAAAATTTTTTAGGACTACATCAATGCATAAAATATAATAAGCTTGGTGATTACTGATTGACAGACCATCATCGCTCAGAATGATATTATATAAAATCATTGAATTCCAATTTAACACATCCACAGTTACCCACATGGATACACGACACCAAATATACAACAAAGTAGGAATTGTCTCCAAAATGTAGGTAGGTGACCTTTTTTCACTCGAATTTCCTCCCATAACAATTCTAGATTAATAATTAATATATATCGATAGTTGTATACGTGTACTAGGTAGTTGTAGGTATCGATTATATTTTATTAATTTCCGTATTCCATAATGTTCAAAATTATTATTTTTAAGATATACCTCACTATTTCCCAGACAGATTAATTTGTTGAATGCAATAATCTTGTCGATTATCAGTTAATGATTAGTCCATCATCACCAGTTCATCATATTTAGTTTCGTTTCCCGAGTAAAAAAAATGTTATTCTGACATGTTTGGAACAGACTATTTACTTGAATATTTATAATTATTTATTATAACCTTAATAAATATTGACATTATTAATATTTCCTATAATGTAAGGTTAGAAATTAATTAATTATAGGCTATAATTAATTAATTTCTAATAATTTCTTATAATTTATAGCTATCGGAGGCGATTCCAGTACAAGAGGGTTAGTACCTAAAATTCAAGATTCAAGTGATTGGTGAATGGTATTATTTAAATTTGAAGGCAATTCGAGTAGCTTTAAAAAAAAAATTCAAGGTAGGCAATTCGAGGGTCAAGTGGCCGATGGGACGCAATTCGTGAGGAGCGACCCAGAGTGGTACCTATCATTTTTTTCATCACTATTACGAACAAATATCGAATACATAATAATTTGCCAATGTTTACCACACCGATACCAAAATAGCAAGCAATACTTTTTTTTTACTATTATAGGTGAAAACTAGTTGCACCAATAGGCTGTTTCACAATTCACAGACACCACAGGACTATTTTGTATTTCAAACCAGTTGGGGGCTTTCCCCCTCTACGTTACCCAATTAATATATATGTTCACATATTATATTATATTGTATTAATTATTTTTAAGTCTCTGTCAAACAGAAAGCGTATTTCACGTCGCGTTATTTGTAATTTGGTACAACGCGGCGTTATTCACGCGCATGAAAGCACCACGCCGACGAGCCATTTACCACTTTAACGCGCGTTAATACGCTTTCAGTTTGACAGAGCCTTAATTAAATTGTGTGGATTAGTACATTATAGAAAAACAAATTTAAGTACCTATACCAACAGTGTATTCACTCTCGCATATCATTACATTACCTATTCATTTAATAACCAAATCAACAATTATTATTATTAAGTCCAAAATTAAATATATTCTTAATGCTATATAATTATAACTAATTTATAAGGTTTAGTATTAATATTCTAGCTTTTAAGCACTACCACCACTCACCAGTCACCACCCAAAACAATGTTGGATGTCACTACTAGCGTCAGGCAATCATGAACAAGGCAATCTTCATTATAAAATGTTTATATTTTCATGGTAAAATACAAAATTTACTTTATGTATTAATATAATATTATTTTAATTTTTAATTTAAACAGGAAATAATTTAACATTTCAAAAAATAAATTATTAAAACATTGTAAAAAATATTTTTAAAAATATGCATCTCGACGATGCTTTAATAATACAACAAAATAATATAAATAAGTAAAATGTATCCAAATTTATAACGTATGAGTTAAAATATTTATTTATTTATGAAGACTTAAAACGTTTAAGACGATCCTGTAGTTCTTCAACTATAACTTTAACGTTAGATAATTTTCTTTTGAGCTTACTATTGGATTTTGTTAAACATTCCATTTCAAGTTTCTGAAAAATAAAAGACGAAAAAATGCTAAATAAACAGATTTTGTTTAAATGTAACTTTGAATATTGAGAATTTTATTTTATTTCTATTTCGAATTTTTTTAAGATTTTTAGCATGGTGATTATTTTCTTAATATTTTTTTTATTTTTCTCAAAACATTTTTTATATATGAGTATAAAAAATTTTTGATGTGTAATTAATAAATAATTATTGATAATATTATGGGTATTAATTTAATATAAATGGATAAAATTTATTCTTACAGAACTTTCAGTAAGTAGTACTTCATTGTCATCTGTATCTGATAAATTTGATGAACATTCAGTTGCTGTTTCAAAGCATTGTTTTATTTCGTGGTACTCTATTTTAATTGTTGTAATTTGACTTCTCGTTGTATCTTCTAGTTTTTCTAAATTGCCCGAAAATTTCATATTCTGTACAATTTCAAGTTTCTGAAAAATAAAATGGGAAAAACGATATTAAAAATGTTAAATAAATAGATTTTGTTTAAATGTTAACTTTGCATTTTGAGAATTTAATTTACTTTCTATTTCGAATTTTTTTAAGATTTTTAGCGAAGTAATAATTTTTTTTTTTTATACCTATATAAGAAAAAAAATTACGATCTCAAACTTTAAGGATGGTTTCTAATTGTAATTGATAATATTATGGTATTATTTTAGTATTAATGGATAATATTTATACTTACAGCACTTTCAGTTAGAATTGTTTCGCTGTCATCTATATCTGATAAAGTTGATGACTTTTCTAGAACTGTTCCTGAAGTACCTTCAGGAACCTTGGGTTCCACTTCATACCCAACTGATTCAATTTTTATGGGATTGATCAACCATCTAGATTTTCTTCGCTCTGGACATTCCAAAGACTAAAATGCAAAATAAAATACGTTAAGAATAGACATAGGTATATAATAATTAGTCTGGACATAGTATGATATTCAATATATTTATAGTATTTTACTCTACTACATATTAAATTGAATGTAAAAAAAAATATCTCTATAAACTTGAATTATTGTACTTTACTACTATTCTTGTTTCTCAAAAATAATAAGCAAATATATTATGATACAAATGAATATCGAGAATATAATTTCTATTTTCTATTTTATTAATATAATTTCTATTTCTAATGCAGAAGTTTGTTTTAGATTCTTATAGAGGATCAATATTTTATTAATAACTTTGTATATTATTTTAGTATTAATGGATAATATTTATACTTACTGCTATTTCATTGTCATCTTTATCTGGTAAATTTGATGAGTTTTCTTCAATTATTTCCGCAGTACATTGTTCCTCTTTATACTCAACTGAATCCATTTCTGTGGGTTTGTTAAAGAATCTAGATTTTCTACGCCCTGGATCTTTAAAGTACTAAAATGAAATATAAGATATTTTAATTAGATACGTTAAGAATAAACTTATTTAATAATAAATTAGTCTGGACCTAGTATGCTATTCAATATATTTATCATATTTTACTCTACTGCATATTAAATTGAATGTAAAAAAAAATTATTTCTATAAACTTGAAATATTGTACTTTACTACTTCTTGTTTCTGAAAAATAATAAGCAAATATATTATAATAAAAATGAATATTGAGAATATTATTTCTTTATATATGCAGGAGTTTGTTTTAGATTCTTAAAGCGGATCGATAGCTATTACATAAATAACTTTGGGTATTATTTTAGTATTAATGGATAATATTTATACTTACTGCTGTTTCATTGTCATCTTCATATGGTATATATAATGAGTTTTCTTCAATTATTTCTGCAGTTAATTGTTTGTCTTCATACCCAACTGATTCCGTGTTTGAAGAACTCTTACTCAGCGTATCTGTTTTATTTATGTTTTTACGTTTTCTCGATTCAGAGTCATTTTCTATGGCATTTTTTTCTGAAATTATTGTGAATAAAATTATGTATAAATAATTATTATACATTTGTACTTGCCGAATTCTATTATTCCTCCCCCTCCCCTCAATTTGATTCTATGCAGTGGTGATGGATCCTGCTTTAGCTGTAAGTACTTTTATTTATGAAATGTTATCAAATAACATATTATATAAGCTTAACCGATAATTTTGTTCTTTTGTTGTTTTACGTATAGTTTAACGAACTTTATGAAGCACAACAAATACAATTGCATATCACTATTCGTTTTTATCTTTTTATTATTTTCATAATTATATATTTTTAACGATTATCTGTGTTTGTATATTGGTTATTATAATATTTATATAATGAAGCCCAAACGAGTTATAAGTATTTTAAAATTTATATAATATATTCGGAGGGTACCATCGCTAGATGATTTCCCTCATCTTGTGCTTCATGTGTTGTTTTTATTATGTATATAGTGTTATGTAAGTCATCTTTTTTACTTCTTGACTATTGTGTTATGAAATACAGATTGTACATTTTCAGAAAAAAAAAATTATATGTACTCATAATTCATAAATCATAACTAGATTAAAAATTAAAATATCGTAAGAACCAACACATTTATTTTCTTACAAATAACTTTTAAGTTTAGTATTAGTTAATTCACTCTAATATTAATGCTTACAATACAAAATTGGTAAATCACATTGGCTAGTTAAGATGAGTAATATTATGTGATTATAATATCCTTCTTACCTTTGATATTGTTACTATTTGATTTATCCTTGAGGTGTTTATTTGAAGTAAATCTTTTTTTGTGTCGATTTTTTTCGAAAGTAACTTGTTTGGTTTTGGGTTTTTTGTGCACCGATCCTTCATTGTCATCTGTATCTGGTAGAGTTGATGAGTTTTCTATAATTGTTTCTGAAGTACCTGGTTCGGCTGGTTCCTCTTTATACCCAACTGGATCCGTTTGTCTACGATTGCTTAACCTTATAGATTTTCTACGCCCTGAACCTCTAAAGGACTAAAATGAAATATAAAATATTTGAATTAGATACGTTAAGAATAAACTTTTTTAATAATAAATTAGTCTGGACCTATAGTATGCTATATAATATATTTATCATATTTTACTATACTACATATTAAATTGAATGTAAAAAAAATTATTACGAGAAACTTGAAATGATACTTTACTACTTCTTGGTTCTGAAAAATAATAGGCAAATTTATTATAGTAAAAAGGTTAAATAAATAGATATTTTTAAATTGTTAACGTTGAACATTGAGAATTTTTTTTATTTAAATTTTTAGGACTTTTTTTAAATTCTTATGGCGCATCGATATTTTTTTAATAATTAATTTTTATATAATTTGTATTTTAGAAGACATATTTTATAGAAGAAAAAAATGTTACAATATTAAACTTCGAGAATGGTTGCTAAATTTTTATTTTGTTGGTATTTTGGGGAATAAATTACAAGTAATTTTCTTAATAATAGGGAAAAAATAAAAATATTACGGAAAAACTGGAATATTCATGTAACACCAATATTTGACAAAACCGATCGTGTTCTTTAATTGTAATTTAAAAAAGAAAAACCATATTTATATTTCACTTAGTATATAAACAATTATTTTTAAATATAATACCTATAATTGAGGTCATTAGCCTGTAAGGTTGTTAGGGTTGTTACGGTCGGTTATGAACACGTGTATGTGTAGCAAGGTTTTTACGCACAATGAACCCGGGTGGTCACCCATCCGAGAACTAGTGGTAGCAGCCGTTGCTTACTGTCACATTTGCATTTCAGCCACTGCACCACGACGAGCCACGATAGTAATAATATAATATTATAGGTAAATTGTACCTATATTATAGTATAATATGGGGGTCATATCATAGAACAAATTTTGTACACAACATATATACGTATATAATAATATAAATATAATATGTGTTTACTGAAAAAAATTGTACATCCCCCGCTTCAAAAAAATCCTGGATACGATACTATAAAGTATTATTTTAGAATTAATGTATAAAGTATTATTTTATACTTACTGCACTTATAACAGGTAGTCTTTCATTTTGATCGGGTAAATTAGATGAGGATTCAGTTGTTGTTTTAGTACACTGTTTCATTTCTTGCTTCTTTGTTTTAACTGTTGTGTTTTGACTTTTCATTATATCTTCTAATTTTAAAAAACATTTTGTATTCAGCTGAAATTTTTCAAGTTTCTAAAAAATAAAAGGGGAAAAATGATATTAAAAATGCTAAATAAATAGATTTTGTCTAAATGTTAACGTTGAATAGGGTGTTTGTAACTTTCAAAGTCTTTCAATATTGAAATTTTATTTTATTTCTATTTCAAATTTTTTTTAAATTTTGACGAAGTCATTATTTTCTTAATAATTATTTTTATTTTACACAAAACATTTTAGATTCTGAGTGAAACGATGAATGTATTGATTTTACAATGATGTGTGTTTTTTTTAGATTCTGAGTGAAACGATGAATGTATTGATTTTACAATGATGTGTGTTTTTATATTTATTTTTTTTGTGTCTGTGTACACGATAAGTAGTCGAAATAATGCTTCGATTTTCGACTTCAGTATCTTGTTCGATTGGAAAGTGAATATCGTTGGTGCATTGGGGAGGTCAAAAGCAAAATTTTCACAGTACTTTTTAAAAGCGCCAAGAAAAACAAAAGAAAAATTAAGGAAAAACGGGAATTTTTACGCAAAATCGATTTTTCAGAAAATTGAATTTGGTTTTTGGTGTAACTTTAAAACAAATGACCGTAGATACATGAAATTTTCACTGGTTGTTTATATTTGCATTTTCTATACACGATAACATTTTCAAAATATTTTGATTTATTTTGAACAGTTTAGGGACATTTTCATTTTTCATTTTTTTTTAGTTTTTTTTCTAGAAATATCAATAAAATTTTATTTGTTGGTTGCGGAAACTTGAAAATTTAATAGAAGGCTCCTAATATATTGTTTCAAAGGCAGATGAAAAATATTAAAAATCCTTAGTCACAATTTTTTTTATAAGCATTTAAAGTTCAAAAATTGACAAAATATGGAAAAATCACGAAAATTAGCAAATTATTTTGAGTTAAGAATTCGTAAAAATTTTTCTTTTTAAATCTAAGATTTGAAAATGTAATACAAGATTACTCATAAGTTTGTCTACCTTTATCAATAAAAAAATCTCTACCGGACAGTCAAATTAAATTTTTATGAGCGTTTGAAATTCAAATTTTTACATCATTGGATGTTCACTCGATTTCTCATGTAGCGATTTCCTTATTTTGTTGTTATTCATAAACGAATAACTATAGATACATGAAAATTTCACTGAATGTTTATATTAGCATTTCCTATACACCATACAATTTTGAAAATATTTTGACTCTTTTTGAGGAGCTGTTTACGGACATTTTCAGTTTTCAATTTTTTTAGTTTTTTTTTCTATGAATATCAATAAAGTTTTATCTGTTGGGCCAAAAAGTGTAAAAATTTAATACAAGGCTCCTGATATATTGTTACAATATCAGTTGAAAAATATTAAAAATACATAGGCACAATTTTTTTTTATTAGCATTTAAACGTCGAATTTTGACAGAATTTTTCAAAATCTCGAAAATGATTAATCATCGTAATTAATAAATTATAAAATGTTCAGTTTTTATAGCTAAGGATTGAAAATGAAAAACAAGATTCCACGTAAGTAATTAATTCTCTTACCGAAAAATCTAAAAAATATACAATCACAGTTCATTTTTATAGTCATTTTATGTTCAAATTTGGACGAAATTACATATTAAAAAACCTAGTTATTTTGTTGTGATTATATAATTTTATTCGTGGGTACCTACTTGAAACTTCTAAAGTGTACTATTATATATCTATGATAGTATCAGGGTTTGTTATTGATGTTGATGTATAACATGTTATAAGTACCTAATGGATATTGTGATAATGTGATATGATTAATTTGGAATTTATTATAAGTCAATTTTTTTTTTAATACCATAGATATGTATATAATTTGTCTTAAACCTAGACTGACATACCGTCTTCGCTCAGAATCGTTTTTCTTATACAATGATATTGTATCATTGAATTCAAATTTAAAAGCATCCATTATACAGTGACCCACTTGTAACCTACTGTACAGCAGAGCGACATCCACTTACCCACCTTTTTTATATATAAGTATAAAATGTTACGATCTTAACTTTTAGGATGGTTTCTAATTATATCTAGTTAGTACTTGGGGGGGGGAGTGTGAAAGCACCAAATTAGTTTCTCAATAATCTGGAAAAACTAAAAATATTACGAAAAACTGGAACTAAACACAGCAACTCTTTTAAGATTCTTAAAAAAAAATTACACTTTGGTTATTAGTTATAAGAACAAAATATAGACAGACTCATAACAAACGAATAGGATTACTGCATTATTTATCATATTAGTTGTACGACTTTAGTAATTATTGTTAATTTTAGTTTTATATTACCATATTATATTGAATTTTTAAACTACACAATTTTTTAATTGTAACTCAATAAAGAATAACTAACCGGCTAAGCAATAAGCATATAATATACGCTAGTATATTTCTCCTAGCATATTATATAAACTATTAATTTGTAAACATTATACCTATATAATCATCAAAATATTTTGGCACTATATGAATGAAATTAATAAATAATAATTGATAAAATTATGGGTATTATTTTAGTATTAATGGATAATATTTTATACTTACAGCACATTCAGTAAGTATTGTTCCGTTGTCATCTATATCTGGTAAAGTTGATGGTTGTTCTAGAATTATTTCTTCATACGCAACTGATGCCATGTTTGTGTTTGAAGAACTCTTACTCAGCGTTTCTGTTTTATTTATGTTTTTACTTTTTCTCGATTCAGATTTATTTTTACCGGCATTTTTTTCTGAAATCACTGCTAATAAAATTAAGTATAAATAATTATTACACATTTGTACTTGCCGAATTCTGTTATTTCTCCCCTCCCCCTCCCACAATTTGATTCTATGCAGTGGTGGATCCTGCTGTAGGTACTTTTATGTATTAAATGTTATCAAAAAACATATTATAAGTTAAACAGATAATTTTATTCTTTTATAGTTTTACGTAATGAAAAACAAAAAATAATATTGCATATCACCGTCTATTTGTTTTTATCTTTTTATTATTTTTAATTACAACTTATATTATTATACTTTCATAGTTTGAAGTAAATTTACTATTTACATTCAAATATGCTTAGAAAAATGCCAACGTATTTAAATATGAAAACAATATAGGATTATAAAATATTTTAATATAATAAGGTAGGTATACCCATTTAAGAGAACTTCACAGTTCACACACTCACGCACCCGCTTCCCGCCGCAATGTTGTCTCCGTCTTATAGTCGTATAATATTGCAAACATACGTTCAGCAATTCCCCACTCTTTTTTTGTCAACTTTAATAATACATTAAACTATTGAAGTGTATGACATAGGTACGACATTTCATGATAAGAAGAATACTAAAGTTTTTGTTTGTTGTTTTTTTACGAAATTTATAAAACTATTACAGTACTTCCTGATCCCGCGCACTTCGTTGCCCGTAAAAATTAACTCTTAAAAATATTGTGATTGTTCAACACCTTTTGTGTGTAACTCGCTGCAGTAAGTGTAACTCAGCCACCCTGGCAGGCAATGTGAGAAAATTAGATTTTATGCATGTAGCTTGTATCTGATCTGCCCGAATAACCAATGGCAACCAATAATAAATAAATACTAATTTCCTCTAATTATTTCTTCTTTAAGTAATAGCAACCATTTATAAACAAAAATGTCCATTGTAAATCTCAAAAACCCTGTTTGAGCTCTTCCCCGGGTCGGGTTTACCGTATCCAATTGTGGATCGAAACCATTCAAGGAAACACTCAAGCAAACATAAAAAATTTCATCATAATCGGTGCAGCCGTTTATGATTTTGAATAGTTACACACGGAAAGGAATATATATATTTTGATACCTACTAAGTAAGTTATGTTGATTAAAACTAAAATATCGTAAAAACAAGCGTACAAATAGGTACAGATAATTGTCTAATATTATCTATATTATTAAAGCAAACAACACAAAATTGGTTCTGCTGCAGAACGGACTATTTTCTATGGTTGTAAGACGGACACATCACTTTCGGGTGAGATATCGACCACAATTTTTTTTAAATTTAGTTTAGTAATTTGTAATGCATTTCTTACCTTTCATAATATTTTTATTAGTGTTATTCGTTACATCCTTTAGACGTTTGGCTCTTGAATTTGATTTTTTTGTTTTTTGCACCACAGTTTTATTAGGATTTTCGTTGTTGGAAACTGCTTTTATTTTTTTAATCTTCCTCGTCATCATGACTTTCAAAAACTAAAATGCAAAATAAAATATTTTGATTACATTAAGAATATAGATACTTATATAATAATAGTCTGGAAAATTAGTGGACATAATATATGTTATATCATAATATGTCCGTATACATAGTGTGCCATTTAATAAATGTATCATGTTTTAATTCACTATATGTCTGTACGTATTGTATGTAAAAAAAAATGTCGATAACTTTTGAAATTTTGATGAAACTTTAAAATTTAAATTATTATTTGATAAAAATAAACAATTTCACAATTAACTTAAATAATAAATGATTCCCATTTAATGTTATACTTACATTCAACTATTATACGTATTTAAAACACTATATTATTATATAATAATAATATTATATATCCTGTGTATGGCGTACCGGGTGGTGCAGCTGGAACTCGTGGCCCGCAGGAGAACAAACAGTGATTGCTTTGGTTTCCGGCACGTTGCAGTCAGTTATCGAAAGGTGTGCAACGAAAAAGGTTTTATGATTGTTCTGTGGTGACTGGAGATATTGTACTAATCGGCTAACTCAAACAGCTTATAAGCTGTACTATAAAGACACCGCACGGATGTATAATAAAACCCCACCATGAATTGATAGTTCCGATCATCTCTGATTGGCGTGTTTGAATTTATCGCGGTTAGCGATGCTACCGCAGCAGCAGCTGCAGTGCACATACCTAAATCTTAATATTAAATAATAAAATAACTAATAACTTATAACTAATAACTATTGTAATATAGTATTAAAATCGATAAATTATACTTTATATATACAAATGCAAAATCATTAGTAATTATAGGTAGGTACCTAGGTATAAACCAAAACATTATTTTACACAGTAACGTAATCATACCATTCATTAACAATCTAAAATCTAGCAGACATTTACATCATATAGGTCTGAAACGAATTACCTGAAAATAGTTAGAATTGCAGTTCCCTTTTGTTATTTAAAAAAATTATTTAAATATGGTTGTAATAAAAATATTTAGTTTCTATTATAAGGAAGCATCATCCATAGTTCATTGCAAGACATTATCTTCCAATATCCGTTATGTATGTTAAATGTTTAGTTAGTCTAACTTTTTATAAAAGTAATCATGTATATTTGGGTATTCATGCAAATAAATTATATAGTTGGGTTGTGTAAAAATTTAAAACTAGTTAAGCTACAATAAATTCGTGTTTAAATTTCTATTTTAGTATATTACTTACCATTAGTAATGCCTTACGATATGATGGTCACCTATTTTTGAATCACAATCAACTATCTAAGTGCGTAGGTACCTATATAGGCAATAGGTACAGATTACGTATGCACCCCATAATAATTGTCATACATTTCCAGCTATTACACCGGGTGATTATTTTGTCATAGAACGTTCATTATTTCAAAAAGTACAAATGTTTTTGAAAAAAAAAAAATGTTAATTGTCTTCTAGTCGTTAAAAAATGGCTGCATCCGAATTGTATTTTAAAAAAAAAAAAATGTTCGAATTGCATGCCGTCTCTTGTAAGGGTTTGCCCGAATTGCATGCCATCTCTTGGAGGGGTCTGTCCGAATTGCATGCCGTCAACCACATGTTTATTTACTATGCACTTAAACAACTTAGACTTTTTTTGGACTTTCCTAATTTTTTCCAAAAAATGCATGTATAGAAACGCTCTTTTATGTATGGTTGTTACAACTGATTAGTGATTAGTTTCTAGATTGAAATATTATTATATCCATGTAAAGATTTTCCTAAACAGTATCTATATTGGAGTAATGTAGTGTATTGTTGTCTGTTTCACAGACATAGACATACGTATAACGTATCGGTCACTTAAGTGTTTGTAGCTGTCAAATTTATAAGCATTTATATACAATATTGATCTGAAATAATATTAAGATAAGAAAGGTATAGGGCTACGCCGCTACGACCATAAATAATAGTAATAATAATAATAATAATAATATAATTTAGATCTAAAGGAGATATCACCTGTGTGTTTTTCTGTGTCTTATAATTATAATATTAGTAAGTTAACGAAGTGTGTTAATTGTAGTGTGATCATGGAACCACAAGTTGAATATATGTTGAGTGAAAAAAACAAAAAACTTTTTGTAATTGATGATTTTTAATTTTATTTTCAAAAGTTATTGTGCAATAATATTAAAAGGTGGGTTTGTTGTAAACGTTCGTGTACGTCTTACATAAAATTATTGTTTATAAACAGTGAACATAAAGTTATATTCCGCAAGATAGATCATAATCACAATAAAGATGACGAACAAAAATTAAATAGACAACGGGTATGTAATAATTTAAAACGTAAGGCTGTAGATGATCCTTTTGAAAAACCAAGTCAAATACTGCATCGTGAGCTATTAAAGGCAGATATTAGTACATGGACGACAAATGACACTACAGACAGTTCGAAAAAATGTACATTATGCCCGATCAAACATTTATCCTAAGCTGCCAGAAACTTTGATTGATTTACATACAGCTTTAGATAATTTAAACATCAAAACTAATAGACGAAAATTTTTTATTTATTAATAATCATGAAAAAAATATTGTAGCTTTTACAACACACGCAAATTTAAAAAATATTTAAGTGAGTGCGAAATTTTATTTGTTGACGGTAACTTTTAAAAGTTGCCCTAAGATGTTTTATCAATTATTCACAATTCACGGTGTTAAAAATCACAACTATACGCCACTATTTTTTTTTTTATTAACGGGAAAAACAAAACAAATTTATGAAGATTCTTTGACTAATTTATTAATAAAGATGAACGATTTAAACTAAAATTTATCGCCAAAAATAATTTACGCTGACTTTGAACTAGCTATTCATTCTGCACTTGTAGTTGTTTTTCCAAATACAATAAGAAAAGGATGTCGTTTTGACTTGGGACAGAGCATATCGTTACACTAATGACAATACCACGTATCTACATTTTACCAATTGTTCAGGAGAGTGAAAAAACTGAATAAATATTAACAAATATTATACACCTAATTTTTTTTTCAAGTTTAAATTTAAGTTATGATTTTTTGACATTATTTTTAATAAAATTCTTTAAATTTGGTTGCTGTTTAAATTTTAGTGTAGTTACGTGGTATTTACTAAAGTTTTTGTGAGATACGTGTTATTGAGCAGTGTTTTTATATGGTTGAAATTTATAAAAATACTAATAGTAGTTCCTAGTATAATATTATTAAATAAATATTACAATATTATTTATTAATGTTTATACTCATTTTAAAAATATGGATAAATAAAAAAAAACATTCATACAAATCAACATAATATCAATGTGTAGCTTCTTGCTTACTTTTATTTAAATAGATTATTAAAAATTAAAAAAATTAAAATTAATAAAAAAAAACTTTGAAACAAAATAAAAAAAAACAATATTTAACAATAGTATTTAAGTATTTTCATTTTAACAATTAACAGTCTTTTGTATTCTTATGTTATTTAAAATATTATGTACAAAATATCAAATATTAACTAAAATCACATTTTCTAGTTTCTTTCTTTGAAAGCAGATTCATATGGCAATGTGTCATAAAAAGGGTGCACATCCACAGGCAAAACTTTTTTCAACTTTTGTAAATCGTTCCATTTACTTCTAGTAAGTTTTAGTGGTCCTGTGTATAATGGCTGTAGTGGTGCTTCTTCAGCAAGGACAGCCTTGTTTCTTGTTGTGCGTTGGGGTAACTCAGCCCAAGGATCATCAAATGTTAATTTATAATATATAATTCCTGAGGGATCATACATCAGTCCTCTTAAATCCTTACACTCAGGATCCCCCACAGTCTTCCCAGGCCTAATGGAATTATAAATAAGGTTTTTTTTATAGTCATGAAAGAAAGTATGTGTGAGCAATTGAGCATTAAGTGGAGTTGGATACTTTCTTGCATTGATAGTGTATCTCACATAGTCTGTGGGTAAAAATATATCTTTTTCTTTACAACTTCGCTCAATTAGACTATGGACACTGTCAACTTCCATCTGTGTATGTCCCTTTATTAGATATTTTTGTGTTACACTTACCTTATATTTCATAGAGTATTTTAATAGGCCATTGGAAAGTACTACATTTCTGTTTTGGTATCCACACCCATCTGTATACACAACTATTGGTTTTTGGTCAAGGCAAACCTTCTCAAGATGTTTAATGAGTATTGTGGTGAAGACGGATGCTTCTAGGTTTCCTTCAGTCTCATACCACCAATAGTTGTGGCATTCAGCATTGCCAATATTGTATATAGTTAGGTTGTGTACTTTTAATTTCATGCTATAATATAATGCACTAGCTTGAAGATATGGGCATAATTTAACTGCTTGCATGTCCATTGTAAATACATGAGCCCTATTTTCTTTGGAAAGTTGTTTATCAAATTCTTTCTCAGCCCGAGCACGATCTTTATGAGCTATGTGTACAGCCATTTTATTTTCTGAGACTTGGCCAACTTCATACGAAGCACACATATCGCATTTGTCCTTTCTAGGTTTAAATATTGAAAACTTATTTTCTTTTTTATACTTGACAAAAAAAGCTTTGCTAAATGGAGCTAATTTATCTGAAATACATTTTTCTGTGTATAAATTATATATTGCTTGCACATCTTTGAATGGCCCTTCAAAATAAATTCGTTCTGTTCTTTTACGACAATAATGGGAGGGAAGTTTTGGTAAACTATCAAACCAATTCTTAAGATAATCTAATTTATTAGCATAAGATAGTCTTCTTGAAATACTTTGAACTGATCTATACTGTGTAGGAGACTCATTATTTGTGTCTGGCTCTTCAATAGAAATAAGTTGGTTTTGTTTTGGAATACCGTGCTCACTTTTTTTTACCCAGTTTAATACCATCCATTCTTTTAAGCATAATGTATTTAGGTACATTTTCTTACAAACTTGAATAGGCAGACTATCTTTATACCTAAGGTGATAATTATAAGTTTTAGATCTTCTT